AAATCAAACTTCCACAAGGCGATACCCATAGAGTTCTGCAGCAGTTACTGTGATAATTCATACCCCAATAAATCACACATCATTTCTTTCAAATTCGTTCGCGGGTACCGTTTAATGGAGCAAAACAAAAGGGTGTGTGAATGAATCTGCAGCAGTCATGTAGTTTAGAGCCGAAAGTTGAAGAATTCAAATGCCTGCCTAGAAGATCGAGTTCAAATCACATCTACGTCTAAAAAACGGATCTTCTACATATGAGCTCATGAAACGCTTTCCACATGAGATTCTGTGTATACAGTCGTTGGAAATCCGGAAATTCACGGTAATTTGTTCTTTCTTCTTGAGCCATACACGAGATTGGTAATTGATTTATTTAATTGACGGCTAACGTTTCGGCAGATCGCCTTCGTCAGAGCCTGTAAGCAACAATACGATCCGCAGCCGATTCGAACAAGCCTTACAGCTGAACAGGCGAAATGTTAAACCTTGTTTTCGACCACTGATTCAGCTGCACTCGAGCACGTACCTTCTGGATACGCCGATACCACTCTGGAGGAAAGTGGATGTCACGTTGTCCACTGCTAGAGGAAGATGGACTCGTTAAACGTGTATGCAGACCGCTATTTATATACATCAGATCAAAATAATTGATCTAGATAAGGCGAGAGTTCATGCGTAATTGCTAAGTTTTCCTCTTTCCAATTCATTTTTGGGCTTCTTGCATGAATCTAAAACGCCTCTAAACACTTACGTGCTTGCGTTTGGGACTCATAGGCCAGGATTCTCACTGAAATTTTAAAGTTCGTTCCTGCATGCTGCACTACTCTGTGGGTGCCTAGGGGTGTTGATGTACGTGCTTTATCTCTGCCGTCTAGATGCTCTTTAATACGGATACATAGTGGACGCGCTGTTTCACCAATGTATTCGTCGCCGCAGATCGCGCATGAAATCAAGTAGATGACTCCAGCTGCCATGCAGTCCCCTTCTCTGCTCGCAGGGCAGATTATGCAATTCGGGGTAACGCAATTGCGATCATACAAGCGACTGCGAACTAGGATGGTCTTCAAGTTATTCGGAGGTAGTTCAACAATCGTAACTAAATCTTCAAATCCTACTCTTTTCAAACATTGTCGCAATGATGCGCTTACTTCTTTAGATATATAAGGGACGCAAAATGTAACTTTTTTGGGCGTATAGGAAACATCTTTTTGTACGCGATCTTTGGCACTTTTCTTTGTTCTACCTGCATGCTGTCCGTATCCATTAGAGGCCGCTATTCTACGAGCAAGCGCTATCGATTCTGTCTTTTCTTTCGGACCACTACAGACTTGAGAAGCAGTGCGAAACATGTTGTTGATAATGGCTCTCTTCGTCCATGGCGGATGGACCGAAAGTGAATGGACAAGAATATTTTTATTATTCGGCTTGCGGTACCATTTTGTCGTGTGCGCACCATAACTGATATTAACCTGCACGTTCAAGAATGGTAACCACTGATCTTTCGGCTTCTCTCTTGCCAATTGTATATATTGAGATTGCTCATTCAACAAATTGAAACACTTATCCATATCTTCCTGACAAGCACAGACTAGAAAGCAATCGTCAATATAGCGGCAGTATAGCAGCGAACGACCTAGCACAGGCGCTTCAATTTTTGCCATGTAAGCTATCGCAAGGGTGGGAGCCAACCTTTGTCCCATGGCTAACCCTCTTTTTTGTGCATAATAGCTCCCGGACCACTTGAAAACGTTGCAGTTCAGACATGCTTGCAAGAGAGTCATAATCTGCTGTATTGAGAATCTGTAGAGGTTGATGGAATTTCCGATTTCTACAAGGAGCTCATGCACAGCCTGCAATGCAGATTCGTTTTGGACATTCGTGTAAAGTGCATTGACATCAAAAGATTCTATGACACACTCGCTATTTATGCATGTTGCGCGGAAACGTTCCAAAAACATTTTCGTGTTGGCCAGATGAGAGGGGATGAATTTGAGTAGTTGCGTAAGTATCAGTGTAATGAACCACCCAATTCTATCCGTGGGTCCTCCTATGCAACTTATGATTGGTCCCACCTTAAAGTTGGAAGGACTAGTAGAGGCCAAATCGCTGTCGGAATCAAGCTTATGCGTTTTTATTAATAAGTACAAAACGGGGCAAATCGGTAGATCAATTTTGAGACGCGCAATAACATCGTGTGACATGTTCGCTGCTTTAGCTACCTCAATCCATTTCTTATTGAGCTCACGATATGTTTCTGAAATTCGTCAACGGAAGCAGCGCGGTAAAGCGAAACGTCCTCTAAATGTAGTTTTGTTATCGCAACGTCTAAGTGGTGGGGTATGATTACAAACTCGCCACCTTTATCACTAACTGATAGTCTTACTTGAGTTGATCTTATCAATACTTGTATCTCTTTTATGCCCTGTTTTTGTAGGTGAGAGAGGTTAGACTTTATTTTACGTTGGCGCACCCGTGTTATAAGTTTAAAGACTTCGTCCGCAAAGAGACGGAACCTGATATCGACACTGGGGTTGGCCTGTTGTTGCTTATAGAAGCTACTCGGAAAAGGTATTGATAGGCATGTACGAGAAGATTTTTGAATCTCGCTCCCGTTTTCTAGATTTGCGTGCTTGCGAAGTTTATCTTGAAGGTCATGTAGACTGCATGTGATTTTGCGTAGGACGACTTTGGAAATTGGCTGTGAAGGTGAGAAACTTGGCCCTAACTCTAGAATAGAACGTGCATTTGCGGAAAGGGGAAAACCTCCAATTACAGTTACTCGTGATGTTGCCTTACGGTCTGAGGTTTTAGTCTCACTTTCACTCCTATCTAGAGGTATTTAAGAAATTGGCTCGGTAGCAACCTTATCCCGTGATCTAGTCAAAAGGTTGTCGAATTTCCTCTGCAAAGTTTTTTTGGCACTAGAACGAATTTGGTCGCAGATCGAAATTGAAGCACCTACTGTTCTCCTCCAGAGACGATCGTCTAGGAATTCACGGTAATATTTCCAGAATAGGATAGTGTAACATTATTCAGTGTAGAAACATCTTGAACAGCTCAATTTCAACATAGATTGGTCTGGCCATTTTTTGTGGTTGAAGAAAATGCAGAGCTTTGTGTACGAACATCCTTCGTGGAACGTAAGTGCGTAAGCGGTTAGGAAAATTGCAGGGATCTTAAAGACGGAGTTATAATTTGTATTGATTTTTTGGGCCTTTGGATCTGTATATATTCTGCTTCTGATGCCTGAATCATATCGGTGCGAGCGTTCAGGCATGTTCTTATAACGCTTGCTCCCGAGGCCTATCTAATGCAGCAAAATTATGACATATTATAGTATTATTTGATAAGAAGTTTTAAATCAACCTCCTATGATAACCCATTATACTGAGTTGTTCCGGAAATATTGCGCTTTTTCAAACAAGCGCCGCCACAAATCAAAAGATCTTGGAAGGTCAAAGGTCGCATTTCAAATGTTTTTGATTACATTGCAGTGCAACCAACAAGCTCTCAAAAATCAACAAGAACAACATGCCATGCTTTGCTGCGATCAAGTTTCCTTCTTTCAAATTTCTATATCGACCTCCTGGGGAAGTCCGGGTGACATATGAATAGAAGAGTAATTTTGAGAGATACAAGACAATTTCTTTCTTTTTCCCAATCCCACCAAATGATTTAATTCCATAAAAAACCACTAAATTCAGCAGGCTATCTCATTGTCAAACGTAAACGCATCATGCACCACTAAATTTCTTGGAAATCAAACGTTTAAAGATTAGATTATAATTCAACCCTGATTTTACGAGAAGCGAGCGTTCATGAATTGAAAAAATACATTTTGATTTTTTTGGATACAGCATGTGCAGGGCTTGAAACATGGACTAGTAATATACCCGAAGACTAGCGGCCCTAGGGGCCGCTGTAAGTGGGTCGGGGCAGATACATTAGTATTTGCTTAGTTGAGACTGCATCCAGCCATAAACGGTGTTCACATCCCCTCTTTAGAAATACTAAATTTGTGAAAAATCAAACTTCGCAGGTAGACACAAAAAATATCTGATCCTTCCTTCCAAATACCACCAGAATCGTTATATACCCTATTTTCCGGCGTATAAGCCGCAGTTCTTTTCACCGCGCGCCGGCTGAAATGCGATGTCGTTCGCGATGCACGAAACCGCACAAACAGCAATCACTATCTATTTCGCGCGGTAATCTTATACGAGCTTTCTGCTTGCGTTCTTTATTTGATTTAATCTACTCTCTATCTCTAATCTCTTATAATCTACTGCTTTCAGTTTAAATTCGGCTGTATAGGACTTCCTCCCACCTATGACACCAAAATTAGCACACACACTTTTGAAGGAGTAAAAAAAATACCTGAAGACATGACTATCCGCACTAGAGCGCACCGAGTTTTCAATTTGCTACATAACTCTTTTCAAAGGCGCTTTCGCGCCATTGTTCGCTGCGGCGGGTGCGGCTTATATAAGGTGCGGCTTATAAGCCGGAAAATAGGGTAATACAGCTTGCTTCTTTTGTTGCTTAGTTAAAATCAACGTAATGCCTTTCCTAAAGACTGACCAATGCAGGTGCATGCTGAGTCTTCACTCCGGGAGCAAGGGTAAAATAAAGGACTCCAAAGATGAGAGCCGTTTTTGCAGAATTGTCTTTAGCGCGATCGAACGAGCAACAAAATGTATTCAGTACATCAATAGTGCAAAAGCCGCAGTAATGATAAATTAGTGACGAAGCGCGTTCTACAAATACTAATAAAAGTGTAATAAAGTGCTCTTTGACCTTAAGTTTCACTTGTAGAACTGTTTCATCTGTCGCGTAATAGAATAGAAGTAAAATGCAACGAGTGGTAGAATTGTTAAGAGCTAAAAATACGCATTTGAGATGGCAGATGCGCTATAATTGATGAAACATCCGCACGGCGTCAGACTCCATTATATAAAGGACTCCGGTATATAAAATGTATGCTCGTGCACCAGTCGTTCGAGATGAGTCTACGTTTTATTCTTAAGGTGACTCATCCTTTTTCAATATCAGTAAGAACTTTTAGCGTCAACAGTTGTGACTTCAGATATTGCTTGCTTTGAGTGTCACCTGTAATGGCGCGAGAGCAGAACGATTCTGCCATGACGATATATATAGGCTAACTTGGGAGGCCCAGAAAGAGCTGACAACGTACTTTACTTTGGAGAGGCGACGTCTGGGATTACGGACGGAAGCGGTCGGTCAAGCTTGATTCGAAGAAATTTATTATGAACAATAGTGCTAGTTGCCAGAAACTTGAATATACAGTAACTCTGGAATAGCAAACAAAGCTTCTTATTTTCAGACTTGGTCGACGCATTTTGAATACATAGGTCGACTATGCTTTGAGAAGCTTACCCACGACTGTGAGGCGGTTCTTTATAAGTAAGCTGCATAGCGAATCTTTTCCGTTGTGGCATTTTGAATCAGTACTTTGTTCAGCGAACGGGATACGACTAGAATGCTCGCTCAACAGGCAGCTGCTAGGTATATGGCTAAACTGGCACGGGTAAGTGGTGCTAACATTTTTAGAAATAGGGGACAATGCAAACATTGCACACTTGTTTGAAATTCGACAGGTTTGTTGTTCGATTACCTTTTGCTTATCAAGACCTTCTCCCAACATAGAAGGAACTTGCCACGGTGATGAGCATACTTTTTATAAACTACTTATTTGACAAAAAATCTATAATGTCTATGCATTAGCTTTAGGCTATCATCTACTGTGGAGAAGGGATAAGGTCATACGGTAAGATTTGCATCACTGGTGGAAGTTTCGAACGCTTTCCACAGCGACAAACTGTTAGTAACCAAATTGCAAAATTTTATGCAGCAACTCTTGCTTTCATCTGAACACGAGCCATAAAAAGATGCGTTTTTGCAATTTTAAGTCGTAAGTTTACCGTAGCCAATAAGCCATCAATGTATTACTGCATGCACTTTATGATAGTGTACATGCCCTGTATACTGAAATTGTTGCGACAAGCCCGTCTTCTACCTTATTGTGACTTTCATCAAAGAGCACATCTTTTGAAATGAATCTCCCAGTGTATGTACTCTATCACCATAGTTTCTCGTAATACTGCTTTTGAGTAAGAGATAAGCTCACCCTGCCTAGAATCTGACATGTGATTGATCTTGTAATAGTACAAATTCGATGCGATAGTGGCATGAACATACTGTGAAAGGTATACAATAAGGGTTAATTCGGTTCAGAAATGGTACGATAGGCATTACACGTGCTTCATGAATCATACTTCTTGAAAGTTCCGATATAGCTGCAGAAGAAGAAAACTTGTGTTAGTTTACTTGTGATCTATAGAGATAACCGCAAGTGTACGCTTGTTCAACTGTAAGTTGCCAGTGATCCTGGTAATAATCTTGTTTCTATATGCAGAGATAGTGTTTAAGCAGTTTGGGTCTTGCATTTTGAGAATATAGCGCAAAATAAGAGAGCAACTTTGCTCACTTTTCTTGTAGGCTACAAAACAACATTTGCTAAAGTAAGAGGGTTACGACTAGTATTAGTTGGTCCGAAAATTCTGTCGCGCCACAAAAAGTCATAAATTCTTCTTCTCACAATCTTCCTCGACATTAACACTTTTGAAAAGAATAAATTATGCTCTATCTCATGGCATCCTGTGCAATTTTCACTATGTTCTGGTTGCAGAGATGAAATTGGAAAAATGAGATCTTTCAAGGTTTAAAGACTTGGTGCAACCCGCAAATCCAAAAACTGTGCGATAAAATCCAAAGGACCCAAAGCATAAAGCTTTGTATCCTCTTCTTTCTGACTGACAATGAGCAAAGTTTGTGCCAATCAAACTTTTTTTGGAGAGTTGGGAAATCATTTTTTTTGAGAAAAGCTCGATCGGCACAAACTTGTTCAGTTAGAAAGAGAAGCTCAGAAAACTTATGACGCCATCATGGGCTTTATTGCACACTAGCTTGCTTACCCGGCTCCGCTCGGGTCACCCCTATTCTTGTACAGCCTTTCCCTGTGCCCACTTCTACACTTCATTTCCCTTTCCCTGTGCTGTTTTCGAAATCAGCATGCCCACTTACCCCCCCCCAGTGCCAACTCCCAGCCCCTTAGCTTAAACTTTGTGAAAAATCGATAAAAGCGATAAAAACACCGGATAATTCTTTAAACTAATATTGTATTCGCAACTGGCATGCTCGATCCCCCCCCCCTAAGCCAACTCCCAGCCCTGTAGCTCAAACTTTACAGAAACTCGATAAAAATCGATAAAATCAATATCGATCAATGACGAAAAGTAGCCTATGACACCCGCCGGGGCCCGAAGTGTATGTGTGCCAAGTTTGGTCCAAATCGGTTTAGAAATAAAAATTTCTATTCCGCACAACAGACAGACATACAGACAGACAGACAGACACACATTCAGCTTTACATATAAGATTTGGTTTTTTAACCGCTTGCCTCAGATCGAAGAATCTCGAAAATTTTTCCATTTTTATTTCTGCATTCAATTATACAAAGTGAAGCAAGGTGTAAAAAAAACGTGACTCGACCTTATCAATAAAATTAAGGCCAAGAAGGAGATTTGTGCAAGAAGAAATACGAATTTTTGAAAATGGTGCGACGGAGCTTTTGGACTAACTCAATGTTTGTAAACCGCTTAAAGTTATCGTAGAAAGTTGTGTTAGAATTTTCTTTGAGGAGAGATGAACTCAAATGCATAGCCCTCCTCTAGTCAACTATATCACAAAATAAAACATTTGTTCAAAAAAAAATTGCCTCGAAAATTACAACGCTCAGTCAGCAGATCACATCGAATGTTTGGTATTTCGCGCATCGTCGAGCATGTATAATACAACCAAGCAAGAACGAGTTTGATTAGAAATTAATGTTAGATTGTCAATATTTTACGCTTCTTCAGTAAAGTTGCGAAAAATCCCGGAATCTTTCTTGAATCTCGAAATTTGCTCTATATGTAGGGCTCAAAGCATAGGTGCGTTAGGGGGAGCCGGGCTCTCCCCAGGTGAAGGGGGTCTCGCTGTTCCCGACCTTCCAAGGTGAGGGGGTATGTGAGTCTAGGGAGGGGGGGGGGGGGGGGAGGAAGAGAGAAAAGGTAAAAAAGCGTGGTATGAAGAGCTCTAATTTGTACCTTATTTAGGCACAAATTGAAAAAAATTTAAAAATTTTCAAAAGAAATTAAAATTTTTTAAAAAAATTGACTATGAAGATCTGTGCTCCTGTTTCACTGCATCAACAAAAAACGAAAGCAATAATGTTTATCCCAAAAGAACGAGTTGGGAACAACTTACAATTCCTGCACATCATTATCAACAATATCACTATCGCTAACGTCAGAGACAACAAGTTCGCTGCCTAAAAGATCTTCTTCTTCCTCCAAAAGGTCATCGGAGTAGTAGTAGAATTGCGTGCAAAAGCGTTCTGAGTCGAAAATGGATTTGAAACTTTCTTCTTCTTTTAAGCGCTTTTGTGATTTTTTTCCTGGCCTTCTGGTAGCACCAGGAAGTCAGCAGGTAGGTGACCAGTTTCTTCATACCTTCTTTTAGGATATTTCAAAAAGTCATAGGGTAACAGCCTGTCTGGACCACTTATACCAATCCTTTAAATGAAGTTTTTAGATAACAATGTGTTTAGTAGAAGGTTGACAAATCTTAAGTATTTGCTTAGATGCTCTATCGCTGTACGACTTCTGCGTTGTGTTCTGTTAACAGAGTAGATAGAAAATTTCTTTCTCCACCTCTGCCGTGCTAGTCGGAATGGAAACTAGCTTTGCTAGTAGGTCCATCAGATTTTTACGGTAAGTAATGGGAAAAGAGCCAGATCTCATATGCTTTCGCAACACGGGAAGGAAATAGTGTACTTTTTTGGCCTTGTCGAACTCTGGCTTCACCTCCTCTGGCATACGTCCTGTTAGCTGATTAGAAAGCTGCTCAACTTCTTCTTTAACAGCATCTGCGGAATAGCCGAAAAAAGGAGGTACTATGCTGCGCGTTGTTTTTTTCAATATCATAGGTCATATTGTCACAAGGCGAATAACTTTCAAAAGCATAAAGCACAGAGTTGGGTTCGCACTCCAGCCGTGATCTAAGCGCAGTAACTATGCTTTGTACTAACACCTTCCTTTTGTTCATATCCATGTTTGTAAATTTAGCAGCCTTGAATTCTTCAGCAACCTTAAGATCAGCAATGGACTTCCTGGACATTTCCTCATTGAAACTAGACAATCTGCTTGGATTCCTTATGCAGGAAATCAGAGAGTTTCGCTCAATTGCCAACTCTGTATCAATGTCGACAACATTTTCGTCGGCGTAAGATTCTCCTTCTGCCTCGCTGTTGAACTGGAACACATGCGAGTCATCTGCGATTTTGTAAAGTATTCTGCCTGCCGTTTCTTCTTCAAACTGCCAACCTTTCCAAAACATTGAGGAATATTTCAATAACATGTTATTCTTCTGAATGTCTTAGAGTTTTTAATTCATTGAAACCAACCATTATTTACAAATTATGTAAGGTGAGTGTAGAGCGTTTTCACGAAAGTGACCTTCTTCAGCACTAGGTATACAGAGTATAGATTCCAGAAATGGGCGGGTCTTGTGTGAAGTTGTGGAAATTCACCAATCTCCCATAGTTTTTTGAGTGTGTGCTAACAATGATGGCATAACTGTCAATCAAAAGCGCATTTTTTACCAAAAAAACATAAACATATAACAACGATAAGCACGCTCAAATAGACGCGTTCGCTCTCGCTTCCCGTTAGTGCTGATAACGTCAATCCACAGCACATTTTTTACTATTAACTTGCTCCACCTCGCTCTTACTAGGTCGTCCAGAAAGTTTTTGCACACGAATTTCAAAATGCATAACTTCTGATTTTTCCAACCGATTTGACTGCTTTTACTTTTATGTGAAAGGGTAAGCCATGCTCTTTATAATGACATCTCAGCTGCTTAGTAATGGTCATCTGTTGCATAGATAGGAGCGATAGAAGAAAAATGGTAAAAATTTTAATTTTTTGTGTAGGGTCATAAAAAATCGGAGACTTGCAACAAAAATCGGAGCACTCAGTACTGTAGGTTCTTTCACCAGCTCTTTCTAACAGTGCAAAGCTTGCGCCGATTGAGCGTCCCCATGAAAAGTTATGATTTCCCCGAAGAATACCAAAATAAATCAAATTCGCCTTTTTGTACTGCTTGCTCGGAAATTATAACTTTTCATGGAGACGCTCAATCGGGGCAAACTTTGCACTGTTAGAAAGAGTTGGTGAAAGAACCTTGACTGCTCCGATTTTGTTGCAAGTTTCTAATTTTTCATGACCCTACACAAAAATTCAAATTTTGAGTGATTTTGTTTTGAGCTTCTATCTATGCAACAGATGACCATTGCTAAGCAGCTGGGATGTCATTATAAAGAGCATGACTTACCCTTTCACATAAAAGTGAAAGCAGTCAAATCGGTTGGAAAAATCAGAAGTTATGAATTTTTGAAAATTGTGCGCAAAAACTTTTGGGACG